CCAACAAACAAAGTCCAGGACCAGGTGGCTTCACAGGCGGATTCTATCAAACATTTAGAGAAGAGTTAACACCCATCCTTCTCAAACTCTTCCAAAAAAATTGCAGAGGGAGGAACACACCCCATCTCATTCTACGAGGCCACCATCATCCTGATACCAAAACCAGACAAAGAAAATACCTTTTTTGATAGGAAAGCATGGACAGTTTTTCAGTGCAGGAAGTGTAAAGAACATTGTGCTCAGTGTCAAAGAACAAGTCATTCTCTTTCTTACCTACACAAGCTCCGTTGGGTGAAAGTTTGAAACCTGCAGCGCACTCGCAGCGGTAGCTGCCGGGACTGTTGATGCAGTCGGCATTTCGCTGGCAGAGGTTATCACCGTTGCTGCACTCATCAATATCTGAAAGAGCAACAATTCCGTTTTTAAAACTTCATTATTGCATCAGTATTATATTCACTTAACCAATTTGGTGATCAACTCCCAAATGCTGTAGAAGAAACAGTAAAAATCAGAAAACTGTCTAAAAACCAGTTATATCTGCCAAACTTTTTTGGATAAGGTCACACATCATTCAGATTACCTTCACAGACCAGGAGCAGGTCATTGTAGCTGAATCCCGTAGGGCATTCACAACGGAAACTGCCAATCTGGTTAATACACACACCATTTGCACAAATGCCTGGAATCTCTTTACATTCATCAATGTCTGCAATTGAACAGATGTGATCAAATATACAGGGTTCTGCTTAATGTACTCACCATAAAACCTTGAATAATACTATGTGTACACTGGAGTGAAAACACACAGTGTCACAAAAATCAATTCTATACAAGTATGAATGATTTTGTGGTTTATGAAAGCATATAGACCATAAGATATATCCTTTGAACAGTGATGAAAAAAAATGAAGTAGCTGATCAAATATACCAAGTGATATTAGTGTCAATATAGCTAATGAATTTCCTAGGGAATCAAGCTTCCTCTTAAGTTTCATGTCAGGCTGCCCAGATTGCTATCAGCCATCTGATAAAGCCAGCTATGTTTTTTAAATTTTATGTCCTTTGTTATACATGAATTGATAATGGACACTTAAAATTATATTGTTTATTTAATCTTTGCGGAAGAAAAGTAGATTGTGCAACAGAAAGTACATTCAGGAGGAAGTGATTTATATAATTAATAATACTGCAAATTCATAAGTAGATTGGGAGAAAGGAATACTGTAAAAATACACCCAAAACTTAAACATATACTTATGAAAACAGACGGTAAAGGTTAAAATAAAGTGGATTATTTAGAGTCATGTAATACAATATTCATGAAGAGGAAAACTAAAGTTTCAGCTTGATATGTACGAAATCTTGAGATAGTCACATAACTATCATAACTCAATCACCAGACTATGTTGATGGACTAATCCCACTGTTAAAACTTGGTTAGAGGCTGTAAACATGTTATTTCTTTCTTGTCTAACTATATTAGATCCAAATACAGATTACTATCTTTTATGGTACTTTAAAAACACTGAACAAATTTTTACAAAATGCTACGTGTATGTATTAAAATAAACATAATTTAGTAAAAACTCACCAACAGCTTTTCCAGTGTGAATGTCAAAGGTGAATCCAGGAATATTTCCACATATGGTTTTAAAGTCAGCTTTAAAATATAAACAAAGCAAATGCACTCTTAAAATTATCAAACTCCTTCAAAATAACATTTACATAGTATTACTTTTACTGACAGATATATTTTATATTATTCACAATGAGACATTTTAATTTCAATTATATTTATTTGATAACAATGCCAGCTTCTGCAAGGAGTGAATCTAGGCACACTTTATCATTATTATTGCTATTCTTATCATTATCATCATTAACTTTTTACTGCTCTGATATTAGAAGTAAATCATTATGAGATTCAAAATATCTACTTTAGGCATTTAAATTCTTTTTATTTGGATATGGAGGGCTTTAAAAATGATCCGATTTACATAGATTGAAAAACCAGGTTAGTGTACAAATTTAAAAAGGGATTAGAATTGCACAAAGGCATAGGCATGCAAAAATAATTTTGTAGTGGTGAAACATGTTAACAATGAGTAATGAATGAGACATGAATTTTGTCTTTTTTCAACATAAATGTCTATTCGTTGGAATGTGAAATTTGAGGCATCAAAAACAGTGCATCGTGGAATAAAATAGAGACTATGAGAGTCACTCCACATAATTCACCAAACTAATAGTCTAATTTTTAAGAAGCATATTTCTTCTAATGCCCACTGCTACACACATGAATAAAACTCTTGAAAACAGTATCAAGTAAACACATACTGCAGACTATACTCCAAGTGCTATCTGGGGAGGGACTTTGTCTGTTTCATCCACCAATATTCACCAAGCACCCAGAACATATAGAAAGGCACATCACAGATGCTCAATTTAATGGCTTCTAACTGCGTGGCAATATGCGAACTGTAATTTGTATACATCATCTCATTTAATCATCACTATAGGGACTTCCCTGGTGGTGCAGTGGTTAAGACTCCATGCTCCCAGTGCGGGGGGCCTGGGTTCGATCCCTGATCAGGGAGCTAGATCCCACATGCATGCGGCAACTAACAGTTGGCATGCCACAACTAAGGAGCCTGTGAGCTGCAACTAAGGAGCCCACCTGTTGCAACTAAGACCCAGCACAACCAAAAATAAATAAATAAATGATTGTCCTTATAACCATATCAATTAGTCACTGTCACCACTGATTTATTATCCTTATTTAGCATACGAGGAATCAGTTTCAGAAAGGATAAATAATCATGGCAGAGCTGTGATTTAAATACAGACCAGTCTATCAAACCTAAGCCCTTTACTTCCTCTCACCTAAAAAAGTAATATTTTATTCCCCAAACCAATGATTTTCAATTTCTAACTGGTGAAGTTTTCAAATTACAGAATTATAAAAATGTTCCTATTTGTTTTTTTTGGAATAAAACTAGGGCAAGATAGAGCTAAGAAAATCCACTTGTGCCAAAGCAATCTTAACACATTTTTGACTGGAGATGTATTACAGCCACAGGCATTAGTTTCTGCAAAAATCCCCCAGTCAATAATGTATTAAGAAAGAAGGACAGAGCTGGAGGTATTAAGATCCCTGATTTCAAACTATACTACAAAGCTACAGTCATCAAAACAGTATGGCGCTGGGCTTCCCTGGTGGCGCAGTGGTTGAGAGTCCGCCTGCCAATGCAAGGGGCATGGGTTCATGCTCCAGTCTGGGAGGATCCCATATGCCACAGAGCGGCTGGGCCCGTGAGCCATGGCCACTGAGCCTGCGTGTCCAGAGCCTGTACTCCGCAACGGGAGAGGCCACAGCAGTGAGAGGCCCGCGTACGGCAAAAAAAAAAAAAACAAAAAGAAACCAGTATGGTGCTGGTACGAAAACAAACACATAAATCAATGGAACAGAACAGAGTCCAGAAGTAAACCCACACGTATGTGACCACTTAATTTATGACACAGGAGCCCAGATTATACAGTGGGGAAAACACAGTCTCTTCAATAAATGGTGCTGGGAAAATTGTATAGACACTTGCAAAAGATTGAAACTGGCCACTTTCTTACACCATATAAAAAAATAAACTCAGAATAGATTAGAGACTTAAATGTAAGACTGGAAACCATAAACTCCTAGTAGAAAACATAAGCAGTATGCTCTTTGACACTGGTCTTAGCAATATTTTTTTTGAATCTGTCTCCTCAGGCAAGGGAAAGAAAAACCCTCAGGCAAAGGAAAGAAAAGCAAAAATAAACAAATGGGACTACATCAAACGAAAAACCTTTTGCACAGTGAAGGAAATCATCTACAAAATGAAAAGGCAATCTACTGAATGGGAGAAGATATTTGCAAATGATATATCCAATAAGGGGTTAATATTGAAATATACAAAGAATGGTCACAACTCAATATAAAAAATACGAACAACCTAGTTAAAAATGGGCAGAGGACTTGAATAGACATTTTTCCAAGGAAGACATACAGATGGCCAACAGACACAAGAAAAGATGCTCTATGTCAGTGATCATCAGGGGAAGGCAAGTCAAAACCACAATGAGATATCAGCTCACACCTGTCAAAATGGCTATTATCAAAAAGACCACAAATAGAGCTTCCCTGGTGGCGCAGTGGTTGAGAGTCTGCCTGCCGATGCAGGGGACACGGGTTCGTGCCCCGGTCTGGGAAGATCCTGCATGCCGGGAAACGGCTGGGCCCGTGAGCCATGGCCGCTGAGCCTGCGCGTCCGGAGCCTGTGCTCCGCAACGGGAGAGGC